GGCATGATAGAAATGGCTAGCTCTCATGAGATTTTAGGGTCCTAATTGATTATCTTGACAGCATAAAAAGAAAGAAACATATCCTCTAAAAGGTCATCTACAATAATAGACAATAAATCAGGATTTAACTTCTAAAATCCACTACAGATTTTGATTCAAACATATCTTTTCAATCAGTTTTTCCTCAAGAACAACAGCCCAATCTTTCCATATGCAAGGTCCAATTTTCAAACTTTCTTCCAAGATTATCTTCGAATACTTATAAAGACAATGATTGTTTTCTTTCTTAGAAGGATCAATACCCACCTATGAAAGGGATTCAACAACATCATACATGTAAAGGATCAATACCCACCTATGAAATGTTGGGTATGCGACCAAAGTCCCACATTCCCAACATGAAAGGGATTCAACAACATCATACATGTTTTTGAATAAATCAAATTCTTGTGATTTTAATAAACTTGTTTTTAAATTTATAATACATGCAAAATATTAAAAAAAATATTTTTTTAATTTATTTTTATTTTCAAGGAATGCTAGATTATGCAAGGTAATTTTCTTTTGTATTTTTTGTATTAAAAATGCAAACATGATTATTTTTTTTTGAGAAAGTTGGCAATATATAATTTAAAACATAAATGATTTGTTTTTTTAAAAAAAAATTATTATTTTTATTTTTATTTTTAAAAATTATTTAATACCAAAAAAACATCTTATCATAAACTCATAATCTCAAATACTAAATAAAATTACCTTGCATAAAGAGAAGCTTTTCATTATTTATAAATATATGTTATAATACATAACATAAACTATTACGCTGCCTAGTGGAAGGACCTTGCACATTTCATAATCAAATAAAATCACTAAAATAAAATTTGAATTCATGAAGTTTGGGACAATAATATCTGAATGGAAAAGCATGAAAGTTTCAACCACAGTGTAAAAATTAATTTAGTTTAATTAATCTGTAATTTTAGATCTTTAACTATCATGCTTTTAACCTTCTAGCGAAAACAACTAATCAAGAAAAACATACTTGAATTCATAATGGTAGCCTTTATTGTCTCTAATCAATAATTTTATTGTTTCTCTCTGTACAAAATCTAAAAAAATGCTTTCTCTCAGTATTGGAGAGATACGGGGTTGAAGTTTCTAGCCTGGTCTGTTTTTCTGTAAGTTGTGACTGACGCTAATCTCAAGCATGTATTGAAAGACAGACCAAGACTCATATACTAGTAATAGTCCTCGGTTATCCTTCCATCAATGATAGATTTTTCAAGCAGTAAAACTCTCAACTCGTAATTATTACATGTGTGCGTATTATAATTTTAAATAAAATTTTATTGTGTATTTGAGTCATTTAATGACTCTATAAAAAAGAGATAATAAATATATTAAGAAGCATGAAGGTTTCACTCTAGTACCCTTTATAGTTTTTTATTCACCAATATAATGTGATAACTTTTTTTTTATTCATATGAAAAACTTATAGTTTTTTATTCATGATAACTTTTTTTTTATTCATATGAAAAATTGTTTTTCTTTAAACCATAGGCATTTTTTAATCTTTTCATATAGTGTATTAAATATTATTGGATTTGTTTGAAATAGTTTTGATCGATGTAATATATTTATGAATAGTAAAATAACTAAAATATCTCCAAGTATAAAAATAAATAAAGGGCTCTGAGTAGAGGTATTTGGGTATTTGTGATTTTTCATACACACTAGAGTTATGCATGTATTCTTGGATTTAAAAAATTTAATTCATTAGGTTCAGGAGTATTAAGGTCTTTTAACTTTTTTTTTTGTTTATTGTTAGTTTGATCAATGGTTGTAACATAATTAAATATTAAAATAATATTTTAATTTGAAAAAGCTACAAAGACGAGCAGCACATTGAAGTTGCCGTGTACATTGAACAGTGCTTACAATGCCTCCTACTGGTCAAAAAAGGCTTCTGCAATGTCATGTTACTCCTCGTCGTCTCCTCTTAACTAAGAGTGGCATATGTAGATTAAATATAACTGGTTTATTAATGATAATTTTTTTTCTTTTTATTTCTCTTTCCTACCTCAATAAATACTCCATGATTCTCATTATTATTGGTATTTTGGATTTGATTCTTTTAATTTCAATTTCAATATTTTTGTCATTTTTTCCTTTTGTATAGGTTTTTTTGGCAATTTAACTTTTGGTTTTTAATTTGTATATATAATAGCTTTTTATTTGGTCCTTCTACTTTTAATTTGTCCATTATCTTTTTTTCAAAGATGTTATAGCTTCTAGTTTTATCCTTCAAATCATGTTTATAATTTTTTGTTTTCAATGATAAAATGATTTTAATTTGGTCTTTTTTATTAGTTTTCTTGATCTTTTTGTCAATTTTAATTTGGTCTTTCTTATTAGTTTTTTTGATCTTTTTGTCAAAGTTTTTATACTTTTTAATTTTATTCTTCAAATTAAGTTCATGACTTTCTTTTCTTCAACAACGATAAAAACAATAATAGCAATGGTAATAATAATAATAACAATAATTATAGTTTTAATAATGATAGAAATAATAGTAGTAATTTTAATAATGATAATAGTGATAGTGATGATATTAATTACTAATAATAGTAGTAATAGTAATTTTGATAATCATTATTCTTTGAATTGCTATTTTAAAAAAAAAAGTTGTGTGGTTGAATTTTTTTTAATTTTATCCTTTAATATTTAATTTATTAAAAAATAAATATCATGATTTTTTTAGATTTGGTGCTTCAGGTCTAATAATTCGGATCATAAATTTAAAAAAATTATATATTTAAAAAAATATTATAATTTTTTTTATTTTTTTTATAGGTTATTCTAATCATATATTCTAGATTGCAAGTTTGGTGAGATGTTTTTCTTGACTTAGGTCTAATTAGCAATGTTATATATTTATTATGAATAGTTTAAAATGTTTTTTTTTCTCATTTCAATACCTAAATGTTATTTTCTATAGAAAAAAAATAGCTTCGTCCCATGACAAAATGGGAACACCAAGACTAGTATTTCCTAGCATTCAATGGTTTCCGAATTCCAATTATTGATCTCTCAATATTATCGTATCCTTCAAGGAATTATAGGGCTTCTGGAATTACTAGAACTTGTATGATCAATGATAATTGAGAAATGTCTTTTCTTGACTTTGAAAGTTTTAGTCTTTCGTGAAATCGAATCTTGTGAAATTTGAGTTGATGAACTGAAGTGAAAGCTATCTTAATTATAAGTCATATGACGTTATAGCTAGGAATAATTTTATATTATTTTTTAGCACAAACTTATAAATCATTAATATTTTTTATTTAATAGTTTTAATTAATTTGAGTGACTAGAGCAGTAAGATTTGAATTTTTCATCATATTATATCAAAAAATATTGTTAAATGAAACTTTAAAAATAATTTAAATTTAAATTTAAAAGAAAACCTTGTCCCCATCAATTTTCCCCCGTAAAAATTAATAGTTGAAAAAAGAGTGTTCATATATTGGCGTGTTTTGCCGTTGATTGTATAGAGAATATGCGAATCACTCACTCGCTACACATGCAATCCCTCCTTGTTTGAAAGCTCCAAGCGTAGCCGACAGACTAAACGCGATAACGTGTAATTTGTGATTGAGAGTGAAGTGAGAATACTTCCAAGAGGTGGAGAAAGACAAGGAGCAGCTAGCCAATTGGTCATCTCTTTTTTGTATCATATGGAAAATAGACAATAATATGCGAGGGGAAGTTTCCTTCTTTTGTTTTTTCAAATAACTCATAGTGACCCTTGCCCATAAATAAAAAGTTTGAACAATATTCCTTTTTAATCTGAATAGTTTTGATTTATACAAAAAAAGTAGATTTTAAAGTAAAAAATTATCAAATTAATTTTGTTTTATAACATGTAATTACGGTTGATAAATTACAAGAATTAAGGGGGTTGAAAGAAGAGTGTTTAATAAAATTTTCAAATTAAATTCCTTAGTTTTAAAGTTTTCTTTTTCATTTGATGGTGTTAAGAAAAATATTCGGATTTATGTTTTAAATTTTTCTTTTTCATTTATTCTCCTTCTACTATATACCAAGAAATGTATTGTTAGTCTTGATGTTATTTTTTTACAAAGATAAAGTATGAACATAGAGCAATGATGGTGTTAAGAAAAATATTCGGATTTAGATGGTGAAAGTGATAAGAAAAAGAAGAACCCTATGGAGGTTGCACTATAAATAATAGATGATCAAGCCGATCACAACTTATTAGAAAACGACATGCATGTATGAGTGAAGTATTTGCTTCTCATGGCTAATCCCATCTCTCTTGCCTCTCTCCTCTATGTTTTTCTTTTTCTTTTTTGCCCTTTATGCTCTCTGAAGAAAGGGCATAGCGTTGCCGCAAATGAGACCACAAAAAGTTACTTTCGCAATGTTAATGTCAATTCTCTGTTGCCATCAAGCGTCTGCGACCATTCTAACAAAGGTTATATCATGGTTTAGTTTTTTCTGTATTGTCTTTTAATATTGTGTTTTACATATTACGATTTATTTCTAACTAATTGTGTGTGTGTGTGT